TCTTTATTCAAGACATTCTATACGATACCAATCTTTCATTCCAGTCTTTCTCTTTTCTCTATCTCTTTACCAATCTTTCATCACTTAACCATGATCAAAATCTAAGTTTTTTAGTCGTATCACTTCACTATTTATATTGCATCTCTTTCTTTTTGATGCCTGTTAATAACATCATGTTCCTTGATTTTCACAACCTTTGACAATTTGACACTTGAATACTTTTTACATTGGCAGTTCCGGTTTATTTGTAACCTTTTTATGTGGCTGAAAACAATGGGTTGGATTGGGTTGAGTTTAAGCAGATTAAATAATTATTAAAATATAACTCAATATAGGACAATCAACCCAATAAAAAATTACAAGAGAGAGCCTAAATTTAGACATGCTACCCACTTATAAGCCTATGGCCCTATTTGGTGCAATTTATTGCGGCTGTTTTTTTTATTTTTATTTTTTCTTATTTAAATCTTGAGAATCTGTATTAAAGTGTTTTGTATAGTTTTTGCTTATAGTTTATGAGATAAAAATAGCTTAAATAAGTTGAAAAGAACTAAAAATAAAATAAAATAAAAAAAGATAGGTGAGTTTTTTGGTTTTTGTTTTTGAATTATCAACTCTCAACTTATAAAAAAACTGCGCCAAACAGACCCTATGTAATTATTTGAATATTATTCCATGTGCTTAGACCTATAAAACTTTATAAGTGATCCAATCAAATAGACTATATTCTTCGAAAGACATGGTACAACCTATTTTTTTTAGAAGGCATGGTGTAAGTATTATTACTCGAAAAAAAGATTCAAACCGTTACTATATAAATTATGCAGATTCAGAAGGGAATGTTCCCATATGGGATGCAATTTTGGGGAGGCATGAATCTGTGATAAAAAAACTCGTAAACAACGGCGCAAAGATATCAGCAGGCGATGTGGGTCAGTTTGCTTGTTTTGCCGTTGAGCAAAACAACATAGACTTGCTCAAGGACATCATACATTACGGAGGTGACATTACGCTGCTCAATAGCCTTGGGACTACTGCACTTCACACTGCTATTTCTGAAGAGAACACTGAGATAGTGAAATTCCTAGTAGATCAAGGAACCGACATTGACAAGCCAGACGTGCATGGATGGACCCCGAGGGCTTTAGCAGATTATCAGGGACATGAAGAGATAAAAGCTCTATTCCAAACCAAGAAAGAGGCTAAAAAGAAACCTATTGCTTTGGTTCCTGAGCTGCAAGGTGTGCCTTACCTTAAGAAGTACCAGAGTGAGCCGACAATAGCTCCTTTTATCCCTGAAGTTGTGACACGAACAAATGCCGATGAGGTTACTTGGTCTAATGACAATCGGAGACGCAGGGCCAACATATTTCACAATTCGTTGTTTGGGATAATGTCAGCTGCTAATAGACCCAATCGAGGTATGTATGCATGGATTTATATTTCATTAATTTAGAAAAAATCGCAATTCCAATTTAGTTTCAGAATGAATTTACTATTTGGGGACTGGGAAATACATTGCCAAACTTAGTTGAGCATATATTTATCTTTACATATATACTTCCACAAGTTAATGCTACTGTTGGAATGACCAATGTAATTTAATTTTTAATTGTTAAGTTGCATCAAATCATGCAGGGGAGAAGGGCCCTTTTCCATCTTCACACAGTTTCGAAAGTCCACGTCATTTGGGCAATAACCGAGCAAGAGTGACGATTAGTTGCTCAGGAAAAGGAGAATCTGCAGCTGAAAGGCTCATATTGTTGCCCGAGTCTCTTCAAGAGCTACTTGATATTGGTTCTCAGAAATTTGGGGTCTCTCTTACTGAAGTTTTAACGAAAGATGGTGCTTTAATTGAAGATATAGCGCTCATTAGAGATGGCGATCATCTTATTCTTGCTAGTGATCATGAAGGTTTTGGGAGTAAAGTGAGCTAAGTTCATGCCTTAAGTGCACATTTTTGCTGAGTGGTACATGATCTCCTACTTTAGAATTTTGAAGTTTAGGGAAAAACCTTTTTTTCATTTTCTTAAAAAAGTTTTTTATTTCTTGGGGTTTCATTATTCAGTTAAGATGTTTGAATGAAGGCAATGGAGTAGTTGTGAATGGTGCATTGAAGAGGTTATCACTTGTACAGAAGATCTTAGGGGGTGTTATAGAGAGTAGAGATTATAGATGGTCAAAAGGGTTGTAGGTGTAGATCCTTTGTCTCATGCCGTCTCCTTTTAACACGTGGCAAAATCATTGTTCTATAAATTTTTTAACTCAACTTTCCTTGACCTTTATTCTCTCCCCCTCTCTCTCTCTCTTGAGTTATAAATTTTTTTAGAGTAAAACGACGTCGTTTTGATACGTTCGAACCATTTGGACCACACAAATTCGAGCTACCAAACATTTTTGTTAGGCTCCAAGATTTTTTAGTTATCAGTCATTGAATTTGATTTTTTGGTGACAGCTTCTTTATTTTTAAAAGTGAAAAGGACACAATTTATAATTTTTACTGTATTTCCCTCCTAAATACTTCTCATTTCTTACCAATTGGGTTTTTGAACTTTAAAAATCGGTACTTTTAATTTAGATGTTTGTTTTTTTTAATTGATATTTTTGAAATTTTCTCATTAGGATCTATTAAACAAAATTAACATATAAATTCTGGAAACAAAAAAACCACAGTGAAATTTTATTGTTTAAGCTAACGTTAACACACAATAATAGGGCATCATAGAATGAAAATTGATAAATAATGAGATTAAAGCATATCAATTTGGTCATAACTTAGCTTTAATTTTTGAGTAGGAATTTTATGAAATAAGATATCACACTAGATAACAAAAAATAGAGATAAAATCTCAAAAACTACAATCCATAAACCTCTGGCGTAGAAATGCTGCAATGGAGGGATTAGAAGTTGCACTGTGGTCGACTCCTCAAAACACTAAGGCCATGTTTGTTTGGCAGATTAGGTTGGATGAGATTGTTAGTGAAAGGATTGTTAGTGAAAAGATTGTTAATGTGGGAATTGTTAGTGAGAGAATTAAGTAAAAGTGTGTTTGTTTTGATGATAGTATGAGAGATGATTAGTGATGAGATTGTTAAATTATTTTTATATAAAATAAATAAATAAATTATTTCTATATTAAAAAAATTAGAACAAATATTAAAACAAACAGATGCATTTGGAAAAAAAAATTTTTTTTTATATAAAATAGACTCAATCTCCTCACTATTTTCCTAATTCCACCCAAAATCCAGCCAAGCTAATCCCCCTATGTGAGGGTATTCATAGTCTCATGGGATTACTAATCCCCTTCTATTTTTGTCAACCAAACATGGGCTATGTAAGACTTACAAGATTGGTACCAATCCCCTACCTATGGAACCAAACAAACATGACCTAACTTCTAATGCTTTGAAACCCTAGCTGGGGTGGAGCTATATTAAGCTCTCTTACAAAAATTATTATCTTAAAAAGAAAATGGTTTCTCACTTCCATTCAAGTGAATTTTATAATCTCATATAAATGTGGTATTAAAAAATATCTATATTTTATATTCACCCATACGTATATGATGTGTATACACACACATATCATTGTATCTTTAACATCGATATACTCAATATATAATCTATATTATATAGTATTCGTATCCATGATTCATAACTTCTTGTTGCAAGCATTGGTTTTCATGTTTTCTCTCTCTCCTTCATGTGAAAATAATAGGAAACAAAAAGAGATCATGATGAACATTTCATCCAGAAGAAGTGTTTAATTGGGGACAAAAAAGGCCCCCCCTCATATATATCAAATACATATAAAATACATGTCTCTGTTATCTTCTAGCTGTTCTAAGAAGTAGAAACCAAACAAAGGGGTAAAAAAAAAAGAACTAAAATTTAGAACAAGACAATACATCCTTCATTAATCAATTATGATTGGAAGAGAATACAGAAAGTCTTAAATCCCTTCTTGTTTCATCTCCATTTCCTTGCAAAGTCCTTTCTCATTCTCTTTCCCTCACAGCTAGCAAATATATGGGTCATGATATGAAGCACTTTTTTTTCTTTTTTATCGGGGGAATAAAATTTTCTTAAAGGTTGTAACTTGGCACAGCAGTAAGGCTTGCCGGTAACATCAATAATGCCATTACATCCGCTCTTTCACTTTTTTGTGGTTGACATTTTTCTAGTTACCTCTGAAATAAGATAAATTATTATTTCAAGGTCGTAAAAAGTCATATTCTACCAAAAGCATGCAAAAATTAGACTAATTCAAGTAAAATTTGTAAAAAAAAAAAAATGCAAAAAGGAAAAAGGAAAAAGATTGTAAGGAGTCGCTAACCTTTCCCTTTCAGCGAAGCTTACTGATCTAAACTTCAACTCGCCTCTGTGGGTTGTCATCTCGTCCAACATCTCTTGAGACAATAAACCGACATCTGAACCTTCTTCACTAACTTCTTCTCCTTCCTGTTCCCACATTTTTCATCCCCATAGATGGAATATTTGTTAATAGAATACATTTGGTGAAAAGAAACTAAATCCACGTTTGTCATCATGGAAAATGGAATGCAATACTGATAACAAAAGAAACGGAAATAAAAAAAAAAAAAAAAAAAAAAAAGCAACTGCTATACTCCTTGCATGGCGTGGCATTCCAACTACTTCCTCATACTCAGCTGCATCTAATTCGTGAAGATAATAAGGCAGAAAGAGCTTGGGGAGTATATGTTCCCTTATGCTTATGAGCAAGAAGAACGGCAACGGGAACAATATTCCAAATATGGGTATCCACGTGACCCCGAAGCAAATCATAAAATATGCAAGCTGGAAGATTTATTGTTTAACATGGCAATATATTTGAATGGTACTGTCTCCACAAATGAAGCATGAGGCACTTCCAAGATTCTGTCCAATACAATACCACAAGAGAAGGAATCAAGATAACTACGATTGTAAAATTTCAAATTTATCAATCTATGACATAGTTGTTAAATCGGGATACGAATTGTGTATCATTTTTTTTTGGAATCTTGTATCGTATCGCATTATCATAATATTTTTAAAACATTTAAAAATACATAGAAAAATAAATATTTATACAAGAAAACAAATATCTTCTGAGAATAAAATGTTAAATTATGTATATCCTCGACATTGCAAAAGTAATGGTCCTTAAATTAAAGACATGCACACATCAATGCTTAATGCATATAAAATGCCAGAGCGGAGTTAAAATATGTACAACAAAACATTTAGCATTTTTTTAAACATTGTTAAATTTTAAAATTAAAAAAAAACCCGCATTCTTAGCAATTGTGTAATATGTTTTATATAGTCTTCACTCATCATTTAAGTTGTAATATTTTACGTACAACTTTTAACTTCTCAAATAAATTGTTCGTAGCACAAAACTTCAACTTTAACCAAGTAAGCAAGCATAATAACACAAAATACTTAATACCATATAAGTAGACCAAAATAAAATAAAAAGTACTCTTTATTGTATAAAAAATACTCTTTTTTAATAAGTTAATGAAAATTTATGATAATATTAATTGACATAAAATAAGTTCAATTATTTTTCTAAAAAGTGCTAATTAATATTAGTATTCATGTAAACATTAAAATATGCATCACATTATGTATCACATATTGTATATTGCATCATGTATCGTAAGATACATTTAATTCAAGATACGTATTAATGATAATATCGATTTACCTCTAAGAAGTATTGTGAATCGTAACCTACTGACAACAGTGATCTAGAATTATTCATTTTTTATTCAATCAATGGATGAATTAATTTTCTAATTCAGTTCAAAAGAATTAGAAGTGGTTGAGAAGTACTTTCTATACATAAAAGTCGAAACATTTCATTGTGAGGAGTAAAGATGAGATGCACAACTTACTTAAAAAGACGACGAGGAGTGATGAAGAGCAACAACAACCTCTCAAAGAACTGATTACCAGGAAGGCTATCAATGGACATGTATGCAAAGTATCCCCAAAGAACTGAGGTAGGTATCATCTTGATCATAGGTACGGCACAAAGTGTACCACCCACAAGGAGGGATTGTAAAAGGTTGCTTACTCTTTGCTCGTTAACACGGACAGGCAAGTGAGCATCTATGTCCTTTGCAGGATCAAATTTGCCTTCTGCTTCTCCTACATCTCCACGATTCATTACAGCCTCCCTTAAGTCCTCCAACTCTTTATCTACAGAATTATTCTCCTACAAATTCATAATTAATTTGCTCAAGGAAAGCAAGCAGATACACATCCAAATTCGCACACACACACACACACACAACTCTGTTTGGTTTTGAAACTAAAAAACTGTTTTGAGTTTTTTTGTATTCTGCGTCTTTTTTTTTTTTTGTCCTTAGTGAACTTTTTTCAGATTTCTTCACAAATATTTTACTTTGTAGGTGCATCTAGATTAGGTGAATCTAAAAAATAAAAAATTTGACTAAGATATGAAAAGAGTTCACTAAAGAAAACAAAAAACTCCAAAAAACAGTTTTCAAAAACTAAACCAAACAGACTTCTCAAAAACCTAAGCAACAAGAACACTCACAGCTGTAGACGCATCCATCTCAATGAAGGCAGCCTGCATCCTTCCATACATTTGTGAGTTGGTTGCTTGCAGTTTCATGCATTCATTGGCACTCTTCAACATCTTCTTTCGAATCAACTGCATGCCATGGATTACATTGTAATTTAAAACAACATCAATGCTAGGTGCACAGAAGAAAATCACAGAATGGGACACTAATGTCTCACAAAGGGTACCATTATGTGATTTTCATTTGTGCACTTAAGACGTATTCTTAAAACAATCATGTTGCAAATATGACGTAGAAGAAACTTTCTTCTGATCTATGTCTCACCTGCCTCTTGAGGACTGAAAGACTCTTTGTGTGCATGGGTGATTGTGGGAGGACTCCATTGGAAGGAGGGAGTCCGAGCAAGCCACAAATCAAAGTCTAAGGCAAACAATATAAGGTAGGATGTAAGTCTTTATAGAAATATAGGTCTGAACCAAAATTTACAGATAAAAATACTTAATTTTCGGGACACAAACCAAGAATCCAAACAGTAAATATACCATGACTCCAAGCAATAAGAGATCATAATGATACGCAGATGGCTTTTTGAGATTGAATTCCTTCTGTTGTGCCATCTGTGAAGCTACACTGTGGTCAAAAAAGTATAAACCTGCAATCATCACAGCTGGTATAATTGCAGCAAATATGTATGCCACTGGAACCTTCCACATATCCTGCAATTGCATTATGAAACACATAATTCAGTGTTAAATCTTGATTGAGTACATTCAGTAAAGTTTCAATCTTTACTTGGAAGCGGAAACATTAAATTAGCAACTAATAATAGTGCAACTTAGGAACTTCATGACTAGTGAAAAATATTCTGATAATTGAAACCAAAATTGGATTATAAATCTTGATATGTTATTATCCTCTCTGCAAACAGGACCAA